CCCCAAAACCCCAAAACCCCAAAACCCCAAAACCCCACGTGTTGTTGAGATAATTGATAAATAAAATGGGTTCACTCCTTTGAAGAAGAGAAGCATCTACCTTTGACTATCAAATCGAAGAGTATGCCAAAATTAATGATGGTAAGCCAAGCTGTTGACCTTCATAGACATCAACAAAGCTGTAAATTTGGTCATGGATGACGGTCACCTTTCCAGCAAGCTTTTGCTGAGGTTTAAATGCCAGAATTTGCCAAACATGGACTTCATGTCTCTTACAGATGCCTTCTTGGTCCTGTACGAAAATAAGAGGTAATCATTCGTGTTCATTCCCATAGAGGCTCAAATTGGGAAGAAGTCGGTAGAACAGAGATCATCGAAGATAGCCTTAATCCTGAGTTTGTCACTCCTATCGAGCTTGTTTACTATTTTGAAGAAAACCAGAAATTCAAAATTGTAGCCTATGACGCTGATGAATTTGAAAACAGACGTCTCGATATCAGCAAAGCTAACTATATTGGAGAAGCAGAGTTTGAAATACAAAAATTAATCTCTGCTCGTCACGGAGTTTTTGAAGTAAGGCGAACCCTAAAAGATCTAGACTAATTTTAATGATCCCAATAAGGCATTCAACTCTGCTCTCGGACTTGTGGTCATCACTTATGAAGAAGGAAGGAGTGCTCATAATCAAGTCCTAGAATTTAATCTCACAGCAGAAAATAGTGATTTTTCTCCAGGAAATGGCTACTTTTTTATAGTTGGAAAGAAGGATATCAAAAATCCTCTAAACTTTATCCCTATCATGAGATCAGAGATTCTCAAATATGGAGATGACAATACATGGAAGTTGACCTCAATCTCACTCTCCTCTCTAGTAACTGGAAAGAAGGATAACTCATCTATTGATGAGATTACCTTCCAGGTTTCTCTCTATAGGCACAGTAAGAGTGGAAACCATAAGCTAATGGGCAACTTTGTGAGCTCTATCATGGAATTCATTGAAGATAACTCTATGATCACAATCAACGGGCAAAAAGGAGAGGAGTTTTACATCAGTAAAAGTAATACCAAACTTGAGACTGTTTCAAGCTTCCTTGATTACATCAACGCAGGGCTAGACATGAACCTGATCTGTGGTATAGACTTCACTGGGTCTAATGGGGATCCGAATATGCCCAAATCTTTGCACTATATCTATAACCCTCAGAATCAATACCTTGCTGCGACTCTTGAAGTTGGAAAAATCCTTCTAAATTTTGACAATGACAAGCAAGTTCCAATGTTTGGATTTGGAGCAGTAATTCCAAAATATTCCACTCAAGTGAGCCATTGATTTGCTATGAATGGAAATATCTTCAGACCAGAGGCAGATAACATCGCTGGAATTCAAGAGTGCTACAAGAACATATTGAAATCTATCAGACTCTCAGGTCCAACGTATTTTGCCCCCATGTTATCTATGTGGAATGATATGGTACATTTAAACAGTAATTTATAGGTTCAATTTGAGTATACAAAGAACAAGCTAAAGTATTACATCTTCCTTATTCTCACTGATGGAGTTATACATGACATTGATGAGACAGTAGACTGCATAGTCCAGTCAAGCTCTCTCCCAGTCTCCATTATAATAGTTGGCATCGGAGATGCCAACTTTGATACAATGGATTTTTTGGATGCTGACGATGAGAGACTATTCTCAAGGAAATATCAAAAATTCCAAGAAAGAGATAACGTCCAGTTTGTAGAATTCAACAAATATAAAGATAACCCTCACCTTTTGGCACAAGAAACCCTTGAAGAGCTTCCACGTCAGATGTTAGATTTTTATCAGAAAAGAGGCATCAAGCCTTCAGATCTTAAGATGGACTATGTTGATATGGAAGCAAGAGATTACTTCTCTGCCAAAGGAATGGAGTACTCTCAGAAACTGAGTAAACTCAACTATGGAACTGATATTGCCCAAGTGATGACTCAAGGTATCCCCTTTATCGATGAGTAATCGCTTCAGTTTAACAAGTAAAGCCTGGGGTTTTGGGGTTTTGGGGTTTTGGGGTTTTGGGG